ACATACAGAGATGGGAGTGTTTCATCAGTGCTAACAAGGCTAATTCATTATACCTATAGCATACTGATGGCACCTGCTACTAGAGATACTCTAAATTTTCTGTATAGACTAATTTCTGCCAAAGAAATGAGACTTTGTATGTTTCCTTACTGTCTTCAGTTCATTCAGATGATGAGGAACAGCTTTCTCTTTCAAAAGGAGTTGGTCTTTAAATGCTTACTTTTTGCCAGGTTGATGTTGTTTTTGCTATCAGTAAATATCAGTTTTGTTATTAGGTTGATATCAATTTGTTCTTTTGGGGTGTGTCTACATTGTGCTGTAGGTCAAAAGAAGCTATGCAATTTGACCTACACAAATTGTGTATCTTATTTCGATGTTATTTCGAAATAGCTTATTTTGAAATTTGGTGCTGTCTACACAGCACTGATTTCAAAATAATTTGCTATTCCGAAACGTCTCTTATGCCTCCTGGAATGAGGTTTACAGGGACGTCGGAAGAGTGAGCCCGTTATATTTCGAAATAACAGGTGTGCTTCAAAGACGTGGAATAGCTATTTCGGGATACCTCTGTATCCCGAAATAGTGTTGCACTGTAGATGTAGCCTTGATGTCTATCCCAGAGTAGTAGTGGGGTTTGGAAAGCACAGATGGCTGGCTGAGACAAACTTTAAAAATTAACGTTTTTGTGGATGTCTGATGTACGGGAGGGGCAGGGTTAAACATTCAAATGATCTACATGTCTTTACTGAAACAGATAGCAATTGCACAAGCTGAGATAAGCATTAAGATCTTACTGGTCTATAACAATAATGCCATCGGAAGAACACTTTTTTGTATTTACAACCTTAGAAGGATTTTTGCATTCTTCCCTTAAGAAGCTCTGCCTGCTCACATTTTATGCCCTTTCAGAATCCAATACCTATTGTGGCATCTTACGCTCTGCTTTCATTTTCCTTCATGAAATCAAAAAGGTGAAAAGGCATCTTACAAAATATTCACTTGGGCTTGTTTCCTGGCTTGAGATAAGTTTAGTGGGATGAATTGCTGCTATTTCTGTTTCCATGGCTTCATAACCTTTGAAATGGCGTATTATGATTTTTTGAAATTTATAGTGTTCTCACCTCTACTCCAAAAAACAGATATTGGGCATGATTTAACCCATGCAACATAATGTTTAATATCGACTTGTACATATGTCCAGAAAGAAGTATCTTCAAATATATAGATGGATAAGTCTCTCACATGGATGGATAAATATGCATTTGAGATTTTTAAATCTCACACTTAGTATCTAAAAATAAGTTTGATCTGTGTGTGCTAATCAATTGTATTAAATCTCTTCCAACAATGCACAGTCTGGAAAATAATGCCATAGGAAGATACGTTGTCTTTGTTTTCACTAAAATACTGACTGAGTGGCTATTTAAGAAGCAAATGATAAAGGTCTAAAGCTAGTGTGAAAAGGGTGTTGTACTAGAGTTATTCTTATCCATAGTCAAGGAAAAGATTTCCTTGTTCTTATACTGATCAATATACAAAAATTTGACCCATGAAATAAATGGGTGAAATAGAAGTGTAGCTATGTTTAGCTTTCTCTTTGTATGTCACTTTTCCATTGGTAACTCCAGCATTCTGTAGTCGGCAAGTCCTTCCATTCCCTTCTGTTGCTAAATGTGTGTACTCTTCTAAAATGCTGTTTGACTGAACCCAGCCTATCCTTTAGGGTTTGGATTAACCAAGCTTCTAGTAAATGACAGAGGCATGTCACGTATTAAATGCTTTTTTTGTTTACCCTTTATTGCTATTTACTATGAATAGTTAATTTTTGTACACTGCCTAGAAGATTTCTTCTTAAAAATTATGTGTAGTTTTCATATTTTGTACTCCCCCTTCCCTCCGCAAGACAATTAACATGAATACATCTCCCTTAGTCGGCCATGCAAACATGTAGATGCTGTTTTAGACAGTGCCAGCCTCAGTCGAGCAAATAGGAGGACTGCTTCTATGGTTAAAGTTACTTTACTAGCTTGGGGCCTTACTGCATTAGCTTTTCTCATTTGGTCACTCAGAATCAAATCATGCATCAGGCACCAATTCTGCAAATAACAGTGCTAGAAGTTTGTATGTGTATGAAATCCCGTTGATGTTAATGGCAGAATACATTGTGATTAGGATCAGCACAGGTATATCTATTAGCAGGACTGAATGATAGCAAAAATGTTACCCATTTTTTATATCTAAAGGCCCCAGTTAGTATTATGAAATCCAAAGATATCCCATGGCTGTGCCTACACTGGCAAGTTATTCCGGAAAATCAGCCGCTTTTCTGGAAAAACTTGCCAGCTGTCTACACTGACCACTTGAATTTCCGGAAAAGCATTGACGATCTAATGTAAAATCATCAGTGCTTTTCCGGAAAAATTATGCTGCTCCCGTTCGGGCAAAAGTCTTTTTCCGGAAAACTGTTCCGGAAAAGGGCCAGTGTAGACAGCACAGTAGTATTTTCCGCAAAAAAGCCCCGATCATGAAAATGACGATCGGGGCTTTTTTGCGGAAAAGCGCGTTTAGATTGGCCACGGACGCTTTTCTGGAAAAAGTGCTTTTCTGGAAAAGCGTCCTACCAATCTAGACGCGCTTTTCCGAAAATGCTTTTAACGGAAAACTTTTCCGTTAAAAGCATTTCCAGAAAATCATGCAAGTGTAGATGTAGCCTATGTGTTCTCTCTCTCTCTGTCTGTTTGCTTTTTTTATATATAATGAGACAGTCCCTGCATATATGTGTGTGTATGTATATAAAAATAAAATAACGAGGCAATCCTTGCTACCAAGAGCTTGCAATTTAAAATGACGGAGGGAAAGCAAACTAGCCTGAGTTCCACAGTAAGAGCGTAGCTTTTAGTTCCATGTTTTTTTCTTTATTTTTATGTAGGTTTTACTTTTTCTCAGTTCTCCTTCCAAATTGTCCTAAAACTTGTCTTTATAATATTTTTTATTTAATCCCATTTCTTATAATTAACACTAGCATTTTCTGTATTTTATCAACTTTTGACTGTTTCTGTTTGTTACATTTAGCACCCCTATCTATTTTAAGTTAATTTAAAACGTTGGCCACTTTAAAATATGTATTTAACCTTTGCCTTGTCACATTTTTAAGAGTCTCTTCTTATTACTGTTATTTTCTGTGATTATTTAAAATTTTAATCCTAGTCTTATGCATCTTTTATTTTAAAAATTTAAAACTTTGTGTATCTGCATGTGCACCTGTCCACCTATTTTCCTTGATAACACAGACATGGAAACCGAGTAGAGTAAGTGTGGTCCAAGTATATTTGATCCTGCTTCACTGTAGAGGTTTAGACTAGATGAGCTCCTAAGTCCCTTCCAGCCCTATATACCTATGATTCTGTGAGCAATGGAAAGATTTTATTGTAAAGCTAACTGGAGTTCTGATGCTGAACTTGAGTAAATGAAGGTGATAACAAATGAGCAGTTTGACAGGAAGAAAGCACAGTTTTATAAACACTCCACAAAACAAGCACAGTTTGTCATAATAGGCAGTCTGAGAGAAGACTGTGAACACAAATACTTACATTAAAAACAAAGATGCAAAACCCACCCACACACCCCTAAATTGATTTTTATCTCATTGCAGTTATTTATCACCAGCAGGCAGTGAAATGAACTTAATTGTTGTTGTGTAAATCTATAGAATTGCTTGGATGAGAGTGTGGAGAAATCCACTTTTCAATGTACTAAAAAGCCCAGTAACTTCAGTGAAAAGTTAATATTGCATGCAGTTTTGAGGGATGGGTTTTTTAAAGTTGTAAAATCTATTCTTAATGCTGGCCTTCCAAAAAGATATTTAAAAAAATAAGAAATTCAAACATAAGGCAAAATTAGCATTTATCCTTAATTAACCAGCTGTTAATAACATCTCTTATCTAGCCACAATCTTATTGTCAGCTCTGAAAATGTAAGCATTTGCTGAGTGATATTAGCAATTTGAAGGCTCTTTGTTTAGATTTTTTGTTTTCTTAGCAATAAGTAAAATTCTTTGTGAGAAGTCATTAAGATATTTCTCAGTGCTGCCTTTTGAAAATTTTCAGGCTGCTATCCTTGTCCTGGGCCAAATATGAATCCCATTGCTCTTGGGAGCCGTTGGCTTGCTTATGCAGAAAATAAGGTAAGGAATGGCTTAAGTTTTAAATATTTTCTCTGATAGAGCAGCCAGAATGGTTTTATCTAAACCACAGGAACAAACTTAATTTCATAAAAGGAAGCCACAGTCTTAAAGGACATTGACAATGATGGTAGGCCAAAAATTAGACCTACCAGCTGTGTTTTTTGGCAGTTATATCATTCTTCTACTCTGTGTAACTTATTCAACTGTGTGAATTTACAGGGCCTGAATATGTAAGAATAGTACTGGCAGAAAAAAGAGTTTTCAATGCATGGTTGCATCTACAGCTCGGTCAGCAACTAACACCTTAACAATTAAGCCAGCTTTTTGAAGAATAACTCTCAATATTCTGTAAGACAGATGTGTGCCTCTTTTATAATTGGGGGAAACTGAGTCACAAAATGGTCTGAGAATTTGTCCAAGACCACACAGAAAGTGAGTGGGTAGAACAGGGATTAGAACTAAAAAATTCCTGGCTTCCTGCCTCCAGGCTCAACCCATTAGACCACAGCTGTCTTTGAGAATGTAAAATATTGAATTAGTTGTGATTATTTTCAGAGTCAAAAGAGAAAAATTAGATGCCAAGGAAAGTAATTAGCAGTCTTTTTATCCAGTGTAGCCCTAAAAAAGAATTGCAAATTCAAAACAAGATGTGTTTGAAAACTTTACCTTTAGTGACCAGATTATGGTTTGTTTTAGAAAAAGGAAGGACTTACCTTGTTCATGTTCACCCTTGGTTACGTTCCTGTGACAGGAATAGCTGCTTGAAAGAAATGAGCCAAACACCATCAGAGAGGCAGCTTTTACTAATTTGCCTGCTGTTATACCTCTGTCCAAATTTAGGTCTGCCTCTTGATGAAACTCCACACCCATCGGTCAGCTACAGTGTTGTTCAATTTACAGATTCCTCTGTAAGTTTTGCAAGTGCTGCTGCTGTTGATGCAAATTTAAACAACAAATTATTAAAATACATACATCAAAAAGGAACTTCCGCTACTGAGGTTTCTCTCAGCTACACTGAATATTGCTGTTGTCTATAAAATTTTTACCCATTTTAATAGAAGTGAAAAGTGACATTTTCAGGAAAAGATAAAAACGAGTAGTTCTGTGGCACCTTAGGGTGTGTCGCTATGCAAATTGTGTTTCTTATTTCATGTCTATTTCAAAATAGACTATTTTGAGCCATCCCTTAACAATGGGGTTTAGAGGGATGGTGAAATAGCGCACCTGTTATTTCGAAAAATATTTCAAAATAACGGGTGTGTTTCTAAGACATGGAGTAGCTATTGTGGGATACCTCAGTATCCCGAAATATCTCTGCTGTGTAAATGTAGCCTTAGAGACTAACAAAAATATATAGGACCATGAGCTTCCTTGGGCAAAATTCACTTCTTCACATGAGCTTGAGAAGATACAGCTTAGGGTGATTTTTCAACCAAAATGGTAGGAAGGAGCAGCTACAGAGTTGACATTTTCTGTGTGGCAACATAAATATCAGTCACTCATTTGGCATTGTTTTGAATCAGCAGGCTTCATTAGTTGTTTGATAGGGGCTAGAGGTGTCCTGTTTTGCTTTATTAATAATAAAAGAAAAACAGTCTAGAAGCATTGCAAGTGCAGACATACATGATAGCTACAAAGCCCCAAATATTAGTAATGTGCATGTAGCTAGTTTTTTCCTTTTGTCATTTTTCTGCTTGCTGAAGCCTGTATAATAATAAAAAAAAAAATGGAGAGGGAGAAGCCACATCCAAATTCTTACGATGTCAAATATTTAATCTTACATAGACATAGCTAAAGCCGTTGATTATATTCATTTAAATTTATTTGCAGTAACGCTGCCAGACCCAAAATCCCACCATTTCAAAGTTTATAAATTCTTAGGGACTACTCATCTGGTAATTGAAAACCGAAGCTGAGCATGCGACAGTCTGGGTGGCACCCAGAAGATTATAAAAAGGGGTTAAGTGTCTCAGCAGGGCTTTTTGCTATTTGTATGAAAAAGCACGCCACTGTACAGGATAAATAAGAGCTATGTTAATGGGTTACGGGGTTGTGTAGTTTAATAATAGTGACTTGCTGGCTGTCTTTCTTCTCGCAGCTGATCCGGTGCCATCAGTCCCGTGGTGGAGCCTGTGGAGACAACATTCAGTCTTACACTGCCACAGTCATTAGCGCTGCCAAAGTGAGTACATCAGCAATCTCTGGAAGAAGTTACCATGTGCAGTGATTATCAGATTCCCTTGCTGAGCTGTATAGAGATCCCCCTCCCCATTCACAAAATAGAAAAGAATCTAAGAAAGGTGCTGGAATTGCTTTACTAATAAAATGAAATATAGAGGCCGGATCCTGCATGTCTCTGAGCAGTGATTGCTCAGCACTCTCAATAAGCACTCAGCTCCATTCAGGATATGACCTTTTATATTTTAAACTTTTATTCATATTGCTCCCATGAGCCAAGGCTGGTATTCTCATTTAAATATACTCAGGCAGGGCTGTGATCTCTTAGCATGCTGATGGTCTGTTCGTAAACGCAGTAGTACCGGTGCTTGTTGGGCATATTTGCTCCAGTATTTAATTTTTACTGTATTTCAGGGAGGATAAAATTGTACTTGAGGGATAGAAGGGCTAATTCATTACATACATAATACTATAGCTGGCTGAATTTCTTACGGCAAATAATTTATTTGCTGGTATGATTTGGCAAATAGTTTTGGCTGGAAGAACATGAGGGGAGCAAATTCTAAAAGCATTAAATGTTTCATTTCAGTATTTTCATAGTTAAAAGTTTTGACTTTGGAAACAATATTTGTTTAGAATGTTAGGTAGACTTACCAACCCCTCACTCCAAAAGTTTAATAAAACCCTCAGTTCCTCCTCCCCCCAAAAAAGCCCCCTAATCTTTTCTGGTTAAAGGAAACATTTTGTTAAACCATGTTTTTTGTTTTGTTCTTTATTGCCAAGAAAAAAACTACAAAATTGTTATTTCAGGTTGACAGAAACCAAATTATTTTTCAGGTTTTTTTTTTAAATTCAGTCACCAAACTAAAAAAAAAAGTTATTCACTCTGCTCTAGTTATTATAACCTTCCAAAAGGCCTCTGAGTGCTAATAATAATGTTTACATTTAGATACCAGTGCCTTTGGTTTGCTTAGTTGTAACTATGTTCTGCTGGATGCTTAAGAGTATTCATGGAAAAATCTTAGGCAGGCCAAAGAGCGTGCATTTTTTTCTGGAGATTTTACCTCTTGCGTTTGGCCAAGTTGGTTCTTTTTCACACACACAAAAAAGTGAATTTTCGTGTTGGCTGGCAAACTTCATGCTGATTACTAGCTTTTCTTACAACCGCAAGGCTTGTGATTTGTGAAATACACAACAAAACAGTTCTAATCATAGGGATTGCAAAGAGAATCTAAATGACAGCATGGAATAGAAAGCACCACTGCACTGAACAAAACAACAGTTTAAAGAACCCACAAAGGGAAGCAAAGGTCAGGCTGTTTCATATAAAAGCAAATAAAACAAAAATGAATGTGTTCCATCAAGAGGGCTTTAGAACCCAACTGTGCTGTGGTTGGAGGGGGAAGAGAAATCACAGGTTTTTACATTGTTGAAGAAAAATTAGATTCTTTTTTCTCCTGAAGATAGTGTTAAATCCATAATATCTGCTTGGAGTTCCTTCACACTCAGTGGAAAAAATCCTTTCCATCTCATCAGCATTACCATTTTTTTTTTCAAAAGGGCAAATGGGCTGCAATAGTATTTACTATAATTGTGGTAAAATAGGCTGGATTGTTGTTTATATGAGGGTCACTTTACACTGCCAGAGCAGCATAAAGTGGCCTTAATGTAAGCAAAAGTCTGGCCTGATACATCATTAGAAAGAGCAGGCCACAATGTTGTTATGAACAACTGAGTAGCACACATTCAATAATTCCTGCAGTTCACAGGCTATTTTTTTGTTTTGTGTTAGGGTGAAACGAACAGTCAGAGAGGGTCTATCTAGCAGAAAGCACAAAGGGTCCCTAGACAAAGCTATATATTACAAATTTTTAAGGCCCGTATGAACCATTATGACTATCTAGTTTGACCTGCATCATAAAGATGAGAGAATTTCATCCAATCATACAATCCCAGTATAGACATATTTGGAAATAAATAGGTAGTCACAGAGAAAGTATTTGTATAACCACAGCAAAGAAAAATATGAGACCCTATATAACAGCGAGGTGTAACAATTAGCTGGAAAAATATAAAAAACTAGTAGATAATTTGTACTTAATGCCACGGTGTTCAATCCGTTCTGAAGCACTAGCCACGCTACCGCTGTAGCAAACTAGCCACACTCAACCTGCCAAATAGCCACAACGGCACTAATGCATACTACTAACCCGCTGATACTTAGGGTAGCCCTTCTGGTTAGGTACTGCGGGGAAAAGTGGAAATCTTCATTCACATCCAAATGCCATGCCATGACTCTCTTGTCAGTTGTTAAGGTTCTTGGTTAGCAGTGACCCCATTGTGTAAATGGGGGTGGGGGAGATTCAGGGACTCTTGTATATGTTCAAAGTGCTGAATATGATGTACATTTAAATGTGACATCAATTTGTGATATAGATTGGGGTGGGGAACCTAAGGCCCAGTGGCTGGATGCGGCCCCTGGCTTGCCTGGATCCAGCTCCGGGGCTCAGGGTCCCCTCCCCAAGCATTGGGGAACCCTTCCCCCCAGTGTTCCCCTGTGGGGCTGGCACACACACAATCTACTAGTGTGGGCCTTCCTAGTCTCTGGTGTGTGAGGGGAATGTGAGGAGTGTCTTTTTCCTTTCCAGTCAGGGGTCACATCAGGGAGGGTTTGTTGGGTTTTTTTTTTTTTTTTTTGCTTTTCACTTGTGTGCGGCCCCCAACTGATTTTTTTTCTATGGTCAGCGTCCCCCGACCCAGAAAAGGTTCCCCACCCCTGTTAGAGAAATAAACTGGCCACTTTGCAAGCCTGGGTGGAGTTTGGGTAGGAATGGGGAACAGTGGAGACAACCTACTGCGGGGATTTTGGCTGAGGGGGTTTGAGACAATGTTCATCATCCTTCCTGCTCTGTCCCAATCCCTTTTTTCTATAGTAGTTGGGGGGCTGCTGCTTCAAACTTCTGCCCTCCTTCCTTTTCTGCATGGAATCACAGGCAGCATCTGGGTTTATCCCAACCACTGCAGCTGCCATAGGGCAGTACAAGCTGGGGTCTTGGCTCTTGCCTGCTGTTGAAGTTGGAGTAGCCCTGTTTGTCCTTCCTTTCCCTAATATGAGGGATTTCTGAGAAGAGTGCTGGGGGCTGGGCTGGTCCCCAGTTACGGGGTCTGCAAGATACATCCTCCCTGTGTGGAGACACTGGCAAACAGCTGAGTGGATTTTTTTTTCACTTGGCATCCAGGAGGTTTGGTTCTGGGGACTTTAAATTACAATTCTTGCCACTGTACTAGATTCCGGTGCAGTTGGTGGGTTCAAAGGTGTTTTCCACTGGGCCCTAAAGCATAATGGGTGGTTTGGACACTGGTCCTGGGGACTAATGAAACATAATGACAGGGGTGAGCCTTTATGGTTGGTGTGGCTTGTAGCTCTCCTCTCCTCTGCCAAGGAAGAGGGGAGGAGATTGGGATTCTGATATCTTGTCAGAGTTCCTCGGTTGTCCTGAGTGTGTGTAAAGAAGGTATGGTGCTCACACTCACTTTCAAGGCAGGGTCTCAGAGTCTATTGGTGCCATTTCAGATCACTGGAATAAACGTGTGGCATAGCGTTGGGTGATACATTCTAGTTTGTTGTTCATAACATTGTAGCCTCCTCATTTCTCCATATCCTTTGCTTGTTTCAGCATCCACATCGGCAGACAGTAATTATTTACAGCTGGAAATATTGGTGGTCAGGAGGCTATTTTATTGTTGGCCAGGGTCCAGCTGATTAGTACAAATCCAATACAAGTGGATGCTCCACTTTTTCAAACACTTATGCGCACGCATAAATTATGTAAATAGTCCGAGTGAAGCCAATGGGACAACTTCCCATGTGCACGTGTAAGCATTTGGTGGGTTGGTGTCTTAATTATGGTTCTGCTTTCTGTTGACAGGTTTGTAACTTTTGAGTCTGTTCGCAAATCGAAAGTAACAAACAATGTTAATCACTTGGGTCCGATTTAATCAAGCTGCATGCTCGTGCTATAGTGAGCAAAATGCCATTTTCTGGCAAATACACACTCCAAATATCTGTGGCCTTTTGCCTTTCCCATTACCTCACCATCAACCTTACTGCTTGTGTAAGTAAGTCTTCCTTTATAGGCCTCAACTGTGATTATATCTTATCGGCATGAAATTTATCCCTTTGATCAGTGGAGGTGGTAGCTATTTTTAAAGTGGATGTCCTTTTTTATTCCCCACTCTGTCCCTTTTGAATTCAGCACAGTCCCATAAAAGTTATAGTTTTCTCAAATGGCTTGGAATTTAGCCTTTTTCAGGTCTTAATTCCAATCTCTTACTGAGGGAAGTGAAGGAACCTTTGCGTGGAAAAGGAAGATAGTTTGGTAAGGAGTAATAGTGAAAAGACCCAATCTGTGTGCTCTCACTTGGCCATCCTGAGAGGAAACATTCAGTAGTTGTGCAAGATATTTACTATGATGATATTTGATGGGTTCCCTTGAAAAATGCCTCAGTAGCTAGCAGTTTTTTTCCCTCCCTAGTGTGGTTCCATGAATTTTATCAAATGAAGTAGGCCTCCTGTTTAATCAGCAAATTCAGCAGTTACCCATAATGCCTTTATCTGAAAGCGCTAGAGCTACCCAGGTTGACATTTAATGCCAAGTTCGAAACCACAGTCACATTAGGTGACTCTTGGTGCCAAAGGGTTAAACTCTCCCTTTTTATCCTAGCATTATGGGAGACTCTCCCAATATCGTGGCTCTAGTATCTGATGATCTTTATTTTAGATGTCTAGAAGGATTGAGTTTTGAACAGACAGAGTACAGGCAGTCCAGTCCCCAGGTTACGTACAAGATAGGGACTGTAGATTTGTTCTTAAGTTGAATCTGTATGTAAGTCGGAACTGGCATCAGCCGCTGCTGAAACTGATCAGTTTCAACCGTGGCTGAATCTGGACACCAGTTCTGACTTACATACAGATTCAACTTAAGAAACCCAGGCGTCCCCAAGTCAGCTGCTGCTGAAACTGATCAGCGACTGATTCCAGGAAGCCTGGGGCAGAGCAACTCTGCCTCGGGCTTCCTGTAGTCAGCCGCTGG